TGTGTGCACCCCTGTGTGTTTTGAGTGGGGATGAAGGGCTTACTCGGCCTCTTGCTAGGGCAGAGGCGCTGGAGTGCAAACTCCACAACCTCGAAAAAGAATTTTTTATGAGCTGGGTGTGACTGCACACAACTTGCAATTCCGCTGCTCCCCTCACCCTCCTCAACTCCCAGACACTTAACTCTTCCATCCCCTCCCCCTCAAGTCGCCGGTCTTAACCCCCCACGATGCCCTGCCCCCTCTACAATTACCCAGGTCTCTTGCCCCACAGCTAACCAGGTCCAAGTCCCTGTACCACAGACAATACCCAGACCTCCTCTTCTTCCCACAACTACCTGCTACCCCTCTAAACAATCACCAGCCTTATCTCTGGTGGCAACTATGGGAGCTCTGGCACCCCCACCACAAACTCCGCCGCCTCGGCCAACTACCCGGCCCCTCACTCAGTCCTCTGCTACGTCCTGGACTCCATGGCCTCCAGATCCCCCAAACTCTCACCTCCAGAGCCCCTGCCAGTCCGAAGCCCTTTCAGCCACTAACCCTCCCCCGAAACTCAGGGGCTCCAGCTCAGATCCCCTGCCCTCCCCCTCCACACACGATGAGTGATCTCCAACTCTCCCAACCCAGCCTCCCACTCCTCTTTCTCCAAGCTCTTTCAACTCCCCCGCTGGGCTCTGGGGCCTAGTTCACCAATGGATTCCTCCCCCATCTCCCGCTGCTCTGTGGTGGTCGACATGCGCTCACCTTCCGGACTGCGCTCCACTGTGGGTTCCAGCATGGCCCCTTCCCCTCCTCCCGGCCCCGCGCCCCCCCTGGGCCGGGGATCCCAGTGCATGTTCCTACTGCCTAGCTCCACACAACCGTCTGCTTTAGCCAGATTAAGACTCCAGTGCGATAAATTGCTGCTGCCACCTCCTTCTCCTACTGCCTCCCTCACTCCTGGACAGCGCCCTTCCCTCCCTGCATCGCCTGCTGTCTGCTCCTGCTTTTGTTATTTTTCAGATACGGTCTTGCATTTTTTTTTCTGCCAGGGCCAGCCTTGGGCCTCAATCCTCTTAACTATATTTCCCAGTCACTGGGGATTACAGTTACACTCCACCACACCCAGCTTGTTAGTTGAGATGTAGTCTGGCTAGCTTTTTGCCCAGGCAGGCCTCTAACTTCAACCCTCCTGATCTCTGCCTCCTGAGTGGCTGAGATCACAGGCATGGGCACCATGCCCATGAAAAAATTATTGACCCGGGCGGCAGTGGCTCATACCTGTGTTCCTTGCTACTAAGTAGGCAAAGATCAGGAGGCTCGCAGTTCTAAACAAGGCAGGGTAAAATAGTTTGCAAAACCCTATCTCGAAAAAAAATCACAAAAAGAAGGACTGGTGGAGTGACTCAAGGTGTAGGCCTTGAGTTTAAACCATAATACTGCCAAAAAAAAATAAATACTGAAATCATTAGCCATCAGGGAAATGCAAGTTGAAACCACTATGAGACATCACATTACAAACACGCACAGTAAGACAATCATTACAAAACTAGCTACGAAAATAAACATAACTATTAAAAGGTTACATACATATGTTGGTGAGGATGTGGAGAAACTGGAACCCTCATACACTGCTGATGGAAATGTGAAATGGTGCAGACACTATGGCAAACGATGAATTTCCTAAAAAGGTTAAATGTAGAGTTATATGACCAAGCAATTGCACTCCTCTGTACATACCCACAACAAATGAACACATGCCATACATGTAAGGAAATATAGGCCCCAAAATGACCACGTGGGAGAGGAGTGATCTGGCCAAGAGATTCTTTATTGCCAGGTGGGAGAGGGAGAGAGCAGAGAGAGTCAAGAGAGAGAAGCAGGAAGGGCAAGGGCTTAAATACCCCTCAGTGAGACTCGGCATGATCTGATTGGTTAGGATCTTATGGTTCATGCTGATTGGAGGTTGGGGCAGAAGGAGGATTCAAGCTAGACTTGAGGCAGGACTGTGACCCTGGGAGGCAGGACTGTGACCCTGGAAAACAGAAGCTTAAGGGTGCAGTAAGAACTGAAACCTATCGGAGCCATTATTGCCAACAATACACAAAAATTCATAGCAACAATATTGTTAAAAAAAATTAGAAACGACCAAAATGTCCATTAATTGTTGAATAGATCAATCAAAAGTGGTTTGTCTGTACAATGGATAATTATTTGGCAATAACATGAAATACTAATAAAATCTACAACTTGGATGAAACTTGAAAGCAGTGTGATAAATGAAAGTCAAAAAAGCCTCATACTTTAAGATTCCGCTTATATTAAATGTTCAGAATCAGTCATTGTCAAGAGAGAGAAAGTAGATTAGTGTTTGCCAAGGGTTAAAGTCATAGGTGGTGTAGTAGACTCATATATATTGTTTCTTTTGGGGTTGATGACAATGTCTTCAAATTGATTACAGTGATGGTTGCACAGCTGTGACTACACTAGCAACCATTGATTTGTACATTTATTTTTTGAGAGAGGGTCTCTTTATGTAGCCTAGATTGGTCTCCAACTCACAATCCTCCCACCTCTGCTTCCTAAGTGTTGGGATTACAAGCATGCACCAACAAGTTAGGCTTGATTTGTACATTTTAAATGACTGACTCTCATAATATGTACAAATAATGAATAATTACTTGGCAATAACATGAAACGAAATACTGATAAAATCTATAGCATGGATGAAACTCAATAAAGCTGTATTTTATAAAAGTAGAGTTTTCTATAATAGTATGGAGAGTTGAGAGGATAAACTAGAAAGAGAGTCCATAAAAAAGGATAGTTTTTTGCTGATGAAACAACTTAATATCTCATTTAAGCAAATGTAGGAAAAGTGACATGAACAACACTAAGATATATATGCGAATTAGCTTGAAATGTTTCGTCTTTGAAAAATTAAGAATGAAATTTCTTTTGGATATTTCCCCAATACTAAATACTGAATTACTGCAGGAAGTAATTTTACTTCTCATGATAGTTCAAAACTAAGTTTTAGCTATTTAATTCTTTAATTTCTAACACTTATAAAAATTCATTTTTAGTCTATGATTATACTATTCCACTTTCAATGTTGTAGTGGCCATTTTCCCTTTAATAATGTAATTTATAGAACACAGCTTTTTAGATGTGCTTTGTTTTCTATGTCTGGAAATAAATATAAATTTTCACTGCCACATTTTTTTCATTTTGTTATTCAAGCAACAAAATAAGAACTTTCCTGATATTTCAGCAAGAATAAACTTTTCATGCTTCCATAGTGAAATTTAAGGGAAAAAAACAGTTGAATTTGAAGTTTGGAGAAGATGAATAAAAATTATGCATGCTTGGAACGCTTTGGGGAGAAATATTAAAAAATGGAGACAAAATTTGAAAAGCTTGAAAAAGCACATGCATAATTGGGAACAGAAGTATGTACAAATACTCAAGACATTTCAGAAGAAGGAGAAACAATACATAGATGTTAACAATACAGAAAAGTAACTAAGAATGTCATCTTAATGACAAAAATGAAAATTAAAAGGGGAAGGAAACTATAGTATAAACTCTTGTAAGTAATCAGATATTGAAAATTATTGCTAGATTAACAGGGTAAAATATTTTATTGTGTGTTTGTGTTTTTATATAGGAGCAATGTCTATAGTATTAATGACCCCTAAGACACATTAACACGCTCCCTAAAACTGGAAGAGGCATAGAATGGAGTGGTTGAATGGGTAATACCTTTGGCATGTGTATCTTTCAGAGATACAGCTTTGAGGGATGTTTATTATCCTCAATTGGCTTTTCCCCAACAGCCATATCTCCTAATATTTATTTTAGATGAACTTGAATTGATAACTTGAGGATGTTGATTTTCATATAGTAATGTAATCTCTTTAATAAGGATGTGAGCTTTGGAAACATTACTTATAATACATGATGCTTACTGATTACACTTCACATACAAATCACACAACAGGTATGCATGATTTCTGTTCTATACATATATCTTTCTCCATAGGGAAAATATATGTCATATGACAAAGTGGGAAGATAGAACTTTAAAGGTGTTTGACTATAGAAAATTTTCCTATTACTGGCCATCAACTTTAGGAAACACAAATTATCTTTCTTTCTTTAAACTATCACTTTATTCCTGCTCCTAAGTGGAGGTATGTTCCAGTACTTCATATTTAAGCAAATTAACAAGAAAGTCATAAGCAATGATCTCTGAACTTAAATCAAGTATGTGTTTTCTTGCTTTTATTTCCTGAACTTCAACTTAAGACACCAGTCTTAGTTTGCTGTAATTGTACTAATCCATTTGGTTATATATCATTCACTTGCAATCTTATCTGTATCACTTGACACTTAATTCTGAAAATTTGAACAAAATGTTTGAAATACATTATATACAAAGACTTGTGATCTGGCAAAGAAATGCTATGAATTTTATTATTAGGAAAACATGATAATTGTGTCCATAAGGGCAATAATTTGAAGACACAGTAAATTAGGTACAAAATAGGAACTTAATAAATGGGAGATGAATAAAAGAATTTTTAAAAAGACAAGTTCAGACTATGCTTAAGGAATTACATTTAGTATGCAATTTGTGAATTAGAGAATTTCTGGTGATGAAAGGTTTGGTGATTGCCCGAAAATGTTAAACATACACCTCTCATGACCCCACCACTGGGCTCCTAGCTAACTAAAGTCTATCGAAGAGAAATGAACTTGTATGTGCACACAAAGACGTGCATACAAAAACCAGGAAACAGCCTAAATTTCCATAAAAGATGAATGGATAAAGTGTGTCGTGTCCATACACTGGACAGTAGAATGGAATTCACTGAGGGCCCATGCGTGGGGCGGGGTGGGAAGGGGACAGGATAGAATCCCAGCATCTCATGCCAGGATGGGTCTCCTAGCAACCAGAGCGTCTTGGGGAAACAAACCACTGAGGCTACCGGCAGTGGCTCGGAGCCAGCGGCACCATGGCAAACCAGAGGCGGCGGCAGTCCTTCCAGCCCTGGGTATTGAAGCCAGTGCCCCCGGGCATGAACTGCAAGCCCTGGTACAGCGACAGACTGCCTTCCAAGTGTTTCCCGAAGCACAAGAAGAAGAGTATGAAGTTCCCCACCTCCCTGGACGGCCGGAGGTGGGTATTTGTGAAGGAAGGGCTGGATGACTTCAGGAGAGGCTGTCCCCCGTGTGACGGTATGATCACTCGTGGCACCAAGGAGGCCTTTCTCCCCACCATTTCTCACCCAGCCCCCCGAGCGAGTCACAGAAAGCCGCTCAAGGATGCAAGCCTGTTTTCCACGCTCTCCAAGGCCCAGCAAGAACGCAGGGCATTCGTGAAGGACATCGAAGCCAGCCTGACCAAGCATCCCTTGGCTCTTTACCCATCTCTGGAAGAAAATATATCTTCAGACCTCTTACTGAAGGTGTTGGAATTGCTGGACCCTGACAAGAAGATGGAGGACACATGGGCTTATTGCCAGGGCCTTGAGAAAGAACGCAAGGATCCTACCAAGATTTGCAAACAGCCTCGTACAAAAATCTACATGGAATCTCCCAGGATTCCCGAGTCTCTTAGAGACCAGCTGTCTCACAAACCCAGGCGCCTGAGAAAGGATTTGCTTGACGTTCTGAAACGAAGATTCATACCCAAAGGAGTGCACGACTTCTGTGAATGGGTTAACACTTTTGGAGACTTGGGCATTGATGAAAACTTCATTATGCAACAATTTGACATTGGCTGTGAGTGCAAACCGACCTATAAGGACTCCTGCATCAAGAAGGTGAATATGGTTCCTCTAGAGCTCAGGTACTGCAGGAAGCTCAGTAAAGTGAAGGCCCTAAGATTCTCCATTCAGGAAACAAACTTCGAGAGAAAACTGCGGCAACCACAGGATCCCTATAAATCCAAGTGGGTGAAGATTAGGTATGGAGCCTGGTACTTGAAGCCTTACCTGTGGAAAAAGCTAAGAGAAAACGAGCCCTTGATTGACCCCAGGATCTTCCTTGAAGAGGTTCATCCACCAGACATTATTGAAGAACTTTATGGAACAATTGCCTTTAAGGATTTCATCATAAGCAAAGGCTACAATATGCCAAGCATCCTTGAGAAGCTGTTCATCAGGAAGGGATGGGATTATGATTCTGTTAATACTCCTATACCGAGAGTAGTAAAAGCTCATGCAATCATAGATGATGACGATGACTATGATGACGACGACGACCACGATGATGATGATGAAAATGACAACTAGATGGCTTTCTACTCACTGCTTGGCTATTTCTTACTCTTATTTTAAACACCAATCAGAATATATGATGGAGGTCCTTCCATGGTTGTACATCTTTGATGGGCAATATTTGTAAATTCAATACCTAACCTTATAAACATAGCTGTGCAATTACAAACTTTCCTCTTAGTACTGTTTTTTATTGTATCACATTAGTTTGTTTAATGCTTTGTTTTCTTCTTGTTTGTTTAGAGAAAATTTGTAAATCTCCTTTTGGTTTAACTCTCTAACCCAATGGTTATTCAAGAATGTGATATTTAGTTTCCAGTATCTGTGAATTTCTAATTTTCTTGCTCTTACTGATTCCTTATTTAATCCACTATGGTCAGAAAAGATACCTAGATGATTTCAAACTTCCTAAATTCATATAGACTTGTTGTGTGACCTAATGTATAGTCTATCACAGAGAATGTTCTGCTGTTCTGTGGAAAGTTTTATATGTGTCTATTATGTCCATTTAGTGAGTAGTGTGTTTCATGACACCATTTTGTTTATTGATTAATTGTCTTTAATTTCTACCCATTATGAGTGGAGTAATTAATAGTCTTTGGTTATTATTGTATCACTATTAATTTCCACCTTTAATCTGTCAATATTTGCTTTATGCATTTACATACTCTGATGCAGGTTGAGCATATATTAATAATTGTTTTTCAGCTGAATTGATCCAGTTTTTACTATCTAATGACCTTCTTTGACTCTAGAAATAGTTTGAGACTGAAAGTCTGTTTTGTTTGCTATAAGTCTAGCCATTCCTAACATTTTCTGTTTACCATTTGCCTATTCCTTTTTTAATTCTCTCATTTTCAGTGTAGGTGTGTCTTTAAATCTAAAGTGAGTCTTTTGTTCACAACATATGACTGGATCTTATTTTTATTCATTCAGTCACTCTGTATCTTCATTTGGGTGAATTTATCCTACTTACATTTAAAGTAGTTACTAGACGAGGGATTAATATTTCTAATTGTTCTCGAACTTTGATGCATCTCCTTTGTCCCTCTCTTCTCCTTTTGCTCTCCTTTTTGCTATTTGATTTTTTTGGTAGTATTTATTCATTTGCTCTTCATCTTTTGTGCATCCATTATAGGTTTTATCTTTGTATATAGCTCAAGGTCTTTATAAAACATCTTTCAGGTATAACTATCTATTTTAAATTGGTAATAGCTTAAGTAGATGGTAAATAAACATTTGCTGAATAAATTAATAAGAGGATTTTTACATTATAAGATTTATTGAGATTCTAAAGCATTTCCTCGAATTTTAATAATCCAAACCCTTCTGACCTGAACTCTTCCTTTTACAATGAACGTGAAACTGTCTTTGCCAAACATGACCTATCCTTCCTCCAAAGTTTTAACTGACCTTTTCTTAATTTAATAGCATTTATCATAGTTTCTTAAATGAAAAAAATATGCCTTCCTTATCGTTTCTACAATAATCACATCCAAAATAATGGCTATGGGTCAGTTAATTTCAACATTATATTTGTTAGTGTGCCTACTAATAATCCCCTTTTCCCATTGTATCTTAATACCAATCACCTCATTTAAAACATAACAGGCACTTGAATTTTAATATAGTACATATATTGATGAATTTATCAGATAAATTTAAAAAGTAGTGGTTCACTAGAACAGCTATGGTGTCCAAGTCACGTGAGAAAGGAGTTATAATTATACCATCTCACCAAAAATAGAACAAACTACATTTTCTTCTATTTCAAAATTTCATTAAAGTATGCATGTTTCATAGGAACAGTAACCTATATGGGGTCATAAACCATGCACATGAATATCTGCTTTTCCACATGTTGGTTATGTGGAGCTTAGTTCCTCATCTATAAAATGTAAACTGAATGATCAAATATAAAGACATTTTGGTGAGAATTAAAGGATAACTTTTGTTATGGTTTGAATAACTTGTCCCAGTCCCGTTTCTGGTCTCTTGCTCTGCTTCCTGACCACCATGAAGTGAGTGATTTTGCTTTATAACATGTTCATTCCACCTTGATGTCCTGCCTCATCAAGCTGACCATGGACTGAAACTCTGAAATCATGACCCACAATAAATGATTCCTCCTTTAAACTGCTTCTCTCGGGTATTTGTCAAAGAGACAAAAGGCTTACTAACACAACTTTATAATGTCACAGCATTACAGAATTCACATTCAGCATATATTTGTAGAAGAGAAAAAGGGAGAAAGGGCAGGAAAAATGTTGTTGCAAAGGTACAAAGGAAAGAAGTCAAGGAATGAGTTTCTGAAGACATTACCCAGTATGATAGTCCCCAAATGTATCACACACAATTTCAACTGTTGTTTAACATGAAGAAAATTTTGAAAACTAAGAATCACTACCGGGTGAAGTAGCACATGTTTATAATCCAGCCCTCACAAAGTTGAGGCAGGAGGATCATGAGTTTGAGGCCAGGTTTGACTACATACTGAGACCCTGTCTCAAAAAGGAAGAATCACTAGAAAACATATCTTTTGCTTAGTGGTGATGACTAATCACAATAAAATATGTTTCCTTGGAGAAATCATATGGGTTTATCCTGTCACACACACACACACACACACACACACACACACACACACCCCAATATTCGATATATTCAGATTTTTTAACAAAAGAGATTTCATTAAATGACTGCCCTCAAATGCAAAATTTTTAGACAGATAGGGATTTCAGGAGATCCTGATAAATAACTGTGTTAGAGCAGCCTCAAATCTACTCACAATCTTCCTTTCTGATACTTACAGCATAAAGAAAGACTGAAAAAGAATCCAAATAAGAAGCTGAGAGTGGTGGTACAAGCCTGTAATCCTACCTACTTGGGAGGTGGAGGTAGGAGGATCACAAGTTCCAGTCCAGCCCAGGCCCAGTTAGAGAGATCCTATCTCAGAAACAAAAATACAAAAACAAAGCTGTGGTCATGGTTCAAGAAGGAGAGCACTTGTGTGGCACAAAACCCTGGGTTTGATCCCCAGTACTGTAAAACAAACAAACAATTGAGTTATAAAGGGTCAAGAATGAGATGTAGAGTTAAAATCTTTGCATTGTGTGTCATCTTTGCACAATTATATTCAGCAACCTTGGACTCCACAAGGTGCCACTAAACTAGGGTAGGAACACTTGTACTGGGGCTTCTAATAAGGGAAACAGAGACATGCCTTCATTTTTCTGGAAGTGGCTGGAGCCTAGATTTACATCTTCTTGGCATAGCAACTATTCCTTTGTGAGTAATGAAATAGGAGTGGGGATAAGTTCACTTCTGGAATGATGTAAAAGTCGCAAATCAAATGTCATTGGCTTGCATGGCCAACAATACCTGTGTATGTGCTCCTGATTTCTTATCAGTTAAACAGTATATACTATCCTTTTTTCAATTTATCATTAGAAATTTTTACTATTCATCATAAATACTATGACTTTAAGTAAAAATATTTACAGCATCATTCATTCAACAAAGATTTGCTTCAGAAGATGAATTTGACACCTGGGAGAATTGACACATGATGAAATAGTAACTTCTATAGTTTAATGCATTTTTCAAAAGGTAAATATGTGATTTTCTTAATTATCCTTTTTTAACTCCTCCTTTTAAATCCAAGGACACTGCTTAACTTTTTGAGTAATATTGTATCCCACAAAGGAGAGAAAATTATTATATCTCAGCCTTCTAATTTTGAGGAGAAATATTTTACATTTGAAAAAACTCTGGTGAAAACAAACACTAATTCTGAAACATTGCTAACCAGGCTCATCATGTTCATGTCAAGATTATTTTAAAGAGATATGTTTGGGATGTGAAAATAGGTTACAATAGACTGTAGCAAGTTTTCTGTTAAGTTTTCCTGTGGTGATGAGTATATCTATGTAAACCTTTACTTCAGAAGCTGATGGTATATTCTATTACATACTGTAGTGATCCATTGGCTCACAGAACCACATAGGGACAATCAAACCTTCAGAGAACCTGGTTATAGGAGCATATGTGATGAAACATTTCCTTTGTTTGACATAGACAAAGGAGATTGTTTTTCATTTCAGACAGTCCGAATGAAAGAATATTAAGAATGTGGCCTGTGGAATGAGGCAGAAATGAGTTCACATTGCAGTTCTTCCATGTTCTACAGACATGTGGCTGTTGGCAAATTGCTTCACAGAATGTTTACTTATAACAACTTGCAACAATTCCTATTTGCAAAGGTTTTAAAGGGTTATATGTGGTGTGGATGTTTGCAAAAGTTTTGGTCATTGCTATGGTTTTGATATGAACTGTAACTCCAAAAGATCATGTGTTGAAGGCTCAGTCCCCAGCTGGTGGTGCTGGGGACCACCATTGAGAGATTGTTGGATCATGAGAGCACTAACCTCATCATTGGACTGATCCATTGATGAGGTCATAGCTGAATGGGTTATTAGGAGATAATGCCTAGCTGGAGGAAGTACATCACTGGGAACATTCCTTTGAAGGGTGAATCACGTCCCTGGACCTTCCCCCAACACCTCCTGGCATCCATAAGGTAAGCATACTCCCTAACAACATGTTCCCACCACCATGGTATTCTGTATTCTGCCTTTCCTCTGGCCCAAAATAATGAAGCCAGGTGACCTTGACTTGAAAACATGAGCCAAAAATAAGCCTTTCCTACTTTAAGTTGATTTCCCACAGGTATTTTTTTACAGTAATGGAAAGCTAACTGACACACACTTCAATTAATTTTACCTTTTTATTCTTCATTATTGATAGTTAGGGATGTTGGACTAAGTGTGCAACACATCTGTGTTTTTAATTCTCAAGTGGAAGAGAAACTTCAGGCAAAAAATTTTTCTTATTTCAATGTTCAGACCTGATGCAATGTTCAAGGAAATACTGAACTGAATTAGAATATTTTATTCATAAACATCCCCCCACATTCACACATACGTCACATAAAATGTGACCAGGTAGAAACTATT